GTGATTACAAACCCGCAAATCTTCCTTTCAGTGTTTAGAGAGCATCACCCCAAGCAGTTGCCTCCAGGTTTGTGCCTTTATTGCAAAAGGTTTTGTTAATTATTTACCGTGGTAGTTTTAGAAGGAGGAACAGATTAGCAGTCTGCATGAGCTCAGTTGGCAAAACCTGAGCAAAGCGAGTACCCCGATTGTTGGGCACTTGATTCAGATGCTTTCCTACTTAGCCACCTAATGCTTCAAACATCATCCAGAATGAATGCATCCTCTCCTCTCTGTCACTTTAACACCTGGTCAGCCTCACTTCAATAAAGAAGGGTTTTTGCTAAATAAGATTCCCAGAGGAACAAGTTCCCTGGAGAATATGACATTGGGGACCATGTACAAAATGAAAAATGCAGAATAAAATTCCGGGGCCCGGCAGGTGGTGTGCAGGTGAAGGCGGCTGGATGCCCCCGGCCAACCACACCATTTGAGTTCTGATCTTGGTGGCTTGAAAACATGCTGGGTACTTGTGGGTGTGTGCCCAAAATCCCAAGAGGAGAATGGAGGAGAAGGGACAGTGGCACAGCCATGCCCCTGGGGGGTGCTTTCCTCACTTTCTCACTTCCCCTCTCTCGCTGTCTCCGTCTGGTGAGCACATATGCCCTATAGCAAAACTAAAAGATAAATAAAATGTAACTGTGTGATATTATAACTTGCTCATCTAACATATTAAGAAACAAATTGAGTTATGAAGGGAATAAGGAGTTAGAGTGCAGAAGGTCTGGGATAGTAACAAAGAGCCACAGTTCACAGCAGGGTGGCACCTCTAACCCAGCACTGGCCCTTGGCAGCCAAAGTGTCCTCCCCACTGTGGGCCACAAACAAGAACCCCTCTGCATCTTTTTCCTTCTTGTAAGATTGTCCCATAGTTAGGATTGAAAGAGAAAACAAATAATATTGAGAGCTGGAGTCTGGGTGTCAGGAGAAAGCAAGTGGCCCCAGGATTAAGAAACTTGACCCTTGGTGGTAGGTGGTAAAAACAGTTCTGGTATCAGTGCCCACTCTGTGTCCTATAATCCTGTTTAGAAGGGAAATGGGGCAAGCCGGTGACATGGTGATTAAGGTGGCTGGATCCCACATGCCTGACTGCACTGTTCAAGTCCCAGACCCGGTGACTTGCAAAGTATGCTGGGTGTGGTGCATGCATCCCCAAGAGGGACGGAGGAGAGGGGATGGTGGCACTGACCATCCCTAGTTTGGGGTGGGGAGTGCTTCTCACTTTCCTCTCTCTTTTTCTTTCTCTCTGTCACCCTTTAGCACATTGTAGTTATATAAAGGGGAGGGGGAGGGAAACGGAGCCTAGAAAAGATGAAGATACAATAAATTAGGTCTGTGAGAGAGAGTTGCTAAGACCGGAATCAAACTGAAGGCCAGGCCTTTCTACTCAGCCCTGCAAGAGCTCTCCTGACTGGGCCACAGGGCATAGGCAGGAGGGTGCTGGGGGCCCTTCCGGGAAGGCTCGCCTTTGAGTCCCGGGTCTCCCTGAGTATGCCAGGCATGCTCGTGGTCTGTAGACTGGCTGCCGGGCTCGGGAGAGGACCTCAGGGACAGTTGTTGAGAGTGCATCTCTCTACCTTTCCTTCCCTCCCTTCTTCATAAATAAACTTTAAAAGCCAAAAAAAAAAAAAAAAAAAAAAAAAAAAAAAAAAAAAAAAAAAGAAGAAGAAGAAGAAAGGAAGGAAGAAAGAAAAGGAAAAACAGAAAAAGAAACCACCTGTTGGGGCCAGCAGGTGGTGTGGTGTTTAAGGCTCTGAATTCCCACATGACTGACCACGGTTTGAGTCTCAGACCTGACAGCCTGAAAGCCATGCCTGGCGTACATGCATGTGTGCCCGAAATTCCAAGAGGAAAATGGAGGAGAGGGCATTGTGGCATGGCCATCCCTCCTGGGGGGTGGTTTCTCACTTTTTGTCTCTCTCTGGCAAGCACGTGTGCCCTATGACAAAAATCTAAAAGAAAAAGAAACCAGGCCTTTAAGTGAGCTCTGGATAGTTAGCGCACGGATTATTGTTAACATACCAAGAGCAAGGGGAAACCAACTGAAGAGCTGAGAGGCCGTCCTGCCCTCGCGTGGGCGAGGGACCCTGAGAGGAAGGGCACCTTGGGCTCTCTGCGGGCTGCCCGTCTGCGCTGACGCCACATCTGAGTCTCCAAGTATGGGCCTCGGTAAATCGAGGGTCACTTGCGTTTTGACCGTCCAAAATGGATCCTCTCCCTGCAGTCTTAGCTCTGGCGCAGATCACACCCGTGGGTGAGCGGAGAGTTCTATGACAATGAGTCGGGGTCACGCAGGCATCGATCCTGCTGCTCTGAATAGCCAGGGCGTTCACGGGAGCCCCAGGAGGCCAGTCCTGCCGTGACTCCGCCCTCTCGGAGGGCGAGAACGGACTTGCAGCCTGGCCCTGGTGACTTTGTTCTTGGCAGTCACCCGTTTTGCTCCCTGGGTATTGTAGGGACTTTCTTTTTCCTTAGATTGAGAAACTTCCCGACAGATGAAATTACACATTCGGTTATTTGATTCCCTCTGGGCCTTCTCAGTCAGCAGTTGTAAGTCTTCAACTCAGGAATTTATCTATCCTAAAAATAATTTATTAGTAGTAATAATTAACTTATCCATCTCACTCATCCAGTCTGTTTTGAGTGTATTAAATGCTGAGACAAGATGCGTGACAGTGTTGCATATGACAAAGGTACAGTCGGAAGGCATACTGCTTGTAGAAAATCTGGAAAATATAGAAGAATTCATAAAGGAGGTAAAATCACCTGCAATTCCACCACTTAGAATGCTGACGAAAATTTTGTCCATTTTTCCTGTCTCTTTCCTTGTCTTAATAAGTTTTTGATCATCTCATCTAAGCATATACGTACATATACACTCAAATTCAATAACCTACTATTGTTACTTAGCATAATAACATATTTCTAACTAATGAAAACATTTGATAAAAATAATAAGGGGCGGGAACCAGCAGTTAGTGTAATGGCTATGTCACTGGACTCCCACGTAGTCGACCACGGTTCGAGGCCCGGACCCGGTGATTTAAAACTCATGCCGGGCGCGTGTGCCCAAGATCCCAAGAAGAGAATGGAGGAGAAGGGATTGTGGCGTGACCATCCCCCCTGGGGGGTGATTTCTCGCTTTCTGTCTCTATGTCTCTCTCTGTCTGGCGAGCGCACGCGCCCTATAGCAAAAAATAGTAAGGGGCCAGCCCGTGATGTCGTGGTTAAGACACTGTACTCCCGCATGGCTGACTACGGTTCAAGTCCCAGACCTGGCAACCTGAAAATCACAGCAAGTACATATGCACGTGTGCCCATAATCCCAGGAGGAGACTGGAGGAAAAGGGAGTGCGTCATGGCCATCCCCATGGTGGGGGGGAATTCTCACTCTCACTGTTTTTCTCTGTCTCTCTTCAGTGAGCGCAAGTGTCCTGTGGAAAAAAACTAAAAAAATAAATCAATCAATAAAAAATAAAGGGTTCAGGGTTCCCGTCCAGAGCGCTCTCTGAACACACCGGGCACGCTCGTGCTTGTCGGCTGGGGCTGGCCGGAGCTGGGAGGGGTCACAGCATGGAGACCTGCTGAGAGTGCTTCCTCATTCTCTGTCTCATGAAAGAACTACATTTTCTTTTCATTGCCAAGGGGCACCTGCACTCACCAGAGACAGACAGAGAAGGAGGGAGAAAGCACCCTCCAGCAGGGTGTGGCCATGTCACAATCCCCTCTCATTCTCCGTCTTGCTGGATTCAGGGCAAGCACTGTACACGCACCTGTCATGCTGTACACGCCAGCAGGGCCGGGACTCGTACCATGATCGGCCGTGTGGGATCTGACTTCCTTAGTCACTGGGTGATGAGGCAGCCCAGAATTAAATACATTAACGATAACTCCTACCTCACAGGCTGTACGAAATCAGGTAGTGAACAGACCTTGGTCCACAGGCTGCTGTTCACTATCGACTGACCTGGATGCGTTGCTACGGCACACTCAGAACATCAGTGACGGATGAGGAGAGGGAGGTGAGGACTTGGCCGAGGAGTGGTGGTGACTTCGCCATCGCAGGTGCCAGCTGATTTGCTCAGAATTCAGCCTTGAGCTTGGCGCCAAGTTGGGAGAAATCAGTTACAAATTTGCTGTGTCCTGCAGGCAAAGCCTACCGCGTGTGATGTGTCCCTGTGCACTGGCTCTTTAATGCTTTGTTCTGTCACTCTCCCGTCACTTAGAAAGTCGTGCCATCCAGCCCAGAACTCTTTCTTTTTATTGTGGGGGTACCTAGTCCGTATATTTCAAACTGCCTTATTTTTTCCTCTTCCCTTTTGATCCTGACTTCCAATCATCCTGTTGACTTTTTCAACAGCCCCAATCTGTGTGAACAGGAGTCTTTCTAAACCGCATTCAGGGCCTGCCTCCCCGCAGCTCTTACTACATGCTCTTTTCTCTGTGTTTCATCCGAGTCCGAATTCTCGCATTTCTCAGCTCCATCCTGGTTCTTCTCACTTAGGGGAGAGAGGTTTTCTTGGTTTCTCATATTTCTTGTGTCTGTGCAGTGGTTTCCGGTCAGCCTGTGAGAAAATCTCGCTTCCGCTTGTCTGAGTGTTTTGGGGTCTAGAAGATGAGGTTTAGAGCATAGCTTTAGTCGCTTTGGTCCCTCCAAAAGCCAGGACACACTTCAGATTGAAAAATCTGTAGTGGAAACTTTGAGAACCTCTGCAGCTCATTTTCTCTAACTCAACACATCTATTTCACCTTCTACATATCAGAGTCTTGAGTTTGGGCACTATGGTGTACATTATTGAGACCTGTACGTAACAATTCTGTTCTAGAAGGAGCACATTATACAGATATAACTGGGAATGACATTTGTTTAAAGAAGCAAGATTGGAATCCAAGACCCCTAAAAGGCAGAAAGGATATTCTTCCTTTCTTTACTGAACCCGTTCCTCTCTCTCGTTTCCTAGGTCCTTGATTTTCCCATTTCTGATTCGAGGGGGAAAACCAGTGCCATTGTACCTGTGTGTAACGGCATTCATGTTCTGTACCTTCAATGGCTACCTGCAGAGCAGGTACCTGAGCCAGTACGCAGTGTATGCTGACGACTGGGTCATGGGCCCCTGCTTTCAAATAGGTGAGTATCACTCTGATTTGCACGTCCCAGTAGTTTCTAGTTACGAAGTCCTAACTCTTTAAGAGAGCAGAGCCTGTGAGGATCAGCAGGCTCCTCGGGAGAGGCCAGCAGCTGTGGAGGCCAGCCAGAAGGAGGGTCGGGCTGTCCCCGTGCAGCCTAGGGCAGGTAGTGGACATCTTCACCCACTCGATCCCTGAAGCATCTGTTTCTACCCAGAACCTAAGACTAGCAGAGTCTCTAGCCGGCTCAGAATGAGGAGACCTGTGCAGGGGCCATGTTCTGAGGCCGTCTTCCTCCTGTAGTTTCTCCTGAGACATGAGAAGGCAGATTAGGTTGTTATGATTATATGAGTAAAGTTTTAATTTTTTATTTGTGTCAATTAATGTGAATTAATGCACATATTCAAGTTCTAATTATAACCTTCCATGTTCTGAACAAAAATTAAATCATTAACAGTCAGAGACTTTTGTCAGAGCATTAAAAATACATAGTCTCAGCAATTTTATATACAAGGAAGAAGATTCTTCTGTGTGTTTATTTTGCCTACCCTCCTAGTATCTTTGTGAGACATGTTGCATGATGAATTTCATGATCTTTTTGTGCCAAAACAAGCTTGAACTTTAATTCCATAAACTTTCTGGTTACCATGGATATAGACAAAGTCTAACAGTGCTTTCCAATGGTAAGAGGTTAACCCAAAAGCTTTTAAACAAAGATTCTAAGATCTCTGCAAATGGGATTAAATGTTTGACTTAGATAAGCACAAATCCTAGTTTCCTTCCAAGCTGGCAATAAAGAAAGGGAGCTGGCATGGGATTTAGACAGTATTTCTCCCCAGAACCTCCTACTGGAAGCCAGATCACCTGGGGTGACACACTGAAATCCAAAAAAGCTAGTGAATCAGCTATAAATCTATGAGCCTGATAAGTGACATAAAATCTGTTATAAAATTTGGTGCAAACTCCTCAGAAGAAAAAAGGAGACTGCTTACAGTGGCAAAAATCTGACTGCAGACCAGGAGGCTCTCCATGTCCTTGTTCTGTTAAAAAAAATCACCCAATGTCACTAGGACAAGCAGTGAGTAAATAATAATGTTATTCCATTGTATGTTTCTTTGATATTGAATCAAATATCACTACCAACACCAGGTTCCTTTCACATTTTTTTAATATCTCAGAACAACAAATGAACCTCTTTTTATCAGTCATTCCATAATGAAGCACTGTGTTGGCAATTTGCTTTTTCTTGTTGAAATTAGTTGGTATAATACTAGAGTCCCCTTTCAGTAATGAACAGCCCCTGAAGCTGTGTAAGAATGGGAGTGGTCACCTTGGGGATTTTGGGGATCCTGGGAAGAGGCATGCAGCCAGCAGTTGAAGATGTTTGTTGGGAGCTGAGGAGGAAGAGCTGGCTGAGGACCTTGATGGGTGGTTTTGCAGTGGGGGAGCCGTGGTCATGTCTGGCATCGTTCCACTGAGGCTGGACATGGGAAGAGGCCCAGAGATGAGCTCCTAGGAAGCCTCACACCTTCAGGGCCTGTGTACAGCCACTGTGCCACAGCAAGTGCTGGCACTTTGACTCCCCATGCCTCTGAAAGGCAGGCAGGGACATTGCCTCTGCAGCGTTTGTGGGAGTAAGAAGGATTCCTGGTGGGCTGACTCCTGAGGCCAGTTACACCTTTGCCTCGGAAACCATAATGATCATTCTGATCATCCCAGACATAGATCGTGACCATCAAACCGAGGTATTTTTGTATGGGTTGGATAACTTTCAGTATTATGCGAAAAGAAAAAGCCCTATTTGGCATATCTGACAGTAATCCTTAATGTCTTTTACTACCAGTTTTGACTATTATTTATGTTATACTAATAATGATAATATAGAGGATTACAATGATATTATTCATCTAGCTCTGAATTCTTAAATGTTGTAGTTAATTAACTATAATAATCTTTTATTTGTTTTCTTTAGGGTTTGTCTTATGGCTAATGGGCATGCTGATAAACATCCATTCAGATCATGTCCTGAGGAATCTCAGAAAACCGGGGGAGACTGGATATAAAATACCAAGAGGTTTGTATTGGAAAACAAATAATTTATTTTTTATTTTAATTTTTTCTGCTAGTTTTTGTGTGTGTGTGAATGTGTGTGCGTTTTATTTATGTCTAAGATTGGCACCGCACTTTCTTTCACTCTGTTGTGGTAGAGCATTCCTTACCTCACTTGCCTTGTTTACATCTTCCTCTGTTTGTTTTCTCTTGAGCCCATTCCATCACCCTTCATCCCCTTTGCACTCTCTGGTATCTGCAGTTGCCCTCTCTACTTCCGTGTCTTCGATGAAATCTTTCCATTTCTGCCACAGAGTGCAGATGTTCAATATGTGTTAAATGGAGATATATAATGTTTCTCTTTCATAGTCTGGCTTGTTTCACTCAGCATTAAACCTACTAGATTCATCCACTTTGTGTCAATGACGGATCGCACTGTTCATTATGGTTGAGTAATATTCCACGGTGTGCATGTGCCATAGTTTCTTCACCCAGTCATCAGTTGTTGGGCACTTAGGTTGACTCCGTGTCTTAGTCATGGAACAGCGAATAGTGCTGCAGTAAACATGGAAGTGCAGGTGTCTCTCTGACTGATTTCCTGTTCTTTTGCTGAATACTCAAAAGTGAGATACTGGGTCATCTAGTAGTTCCATTTGTAAATGTTTGAGGAATCACCATTGTTTTCCATAGTGGCTGGATTAATTGATATTCTCTCCAACAGAGCATGAGCGTTCCCTTTCTTCCACAACCTCACAGCGTTTGTTGTTTGTCTCACTGAGGTTGAGTGATACCTCACTGTGGTTTTGATTCGCATTTGTCTTATGATAAGAGATGTTGAACTTTCTTTAGATGCTTTTTATAGGTCTTCCTTTGAGAATTATCTGTTCAGATCGGATGCCCATTTTTAATTGGATTATTTGTGAACGAGCTGCTTAAATTCCTTGTATGTTCTAGTTAGCAATCCCTTATCTGAAATATAGTCTGCAAATACTCTCTCCTATTCTCTGGGTTGTCTCTTTATTTATTGTTTCCTATGCTATACCGAAGCCTTCTAGTTTAATGCAATACCACCTGTCTATTTTTAGACTTGTTGCTTGTGCATTAGCAGCCTTACTTAACAAAATTATAAAACTACTTCTGGAAAACACAGGAGAAATGCTTGACAGTGGAGTAGGCAATTATTTGTTAAGTAAGGCTCTTTCACAAATAATCCATGCCATAATTCCTTCTCCTCCATTCTCCTCTCGGGATCTTGGGCACGCTCGCACATGCACCTGACGTTTAAGCCACCAGATCCAGATCTCAAACTGTGGTCGACTACATGGGAGTCCAGTGACATAGCCATTATGCCAACTGCTGGTCCCTGGAGTGTGTATGTATTCTTTAGGACTTCCTATGCATATAATCATGTCATCTGCAAATAAGGATACTTTAACTTCATCTTTTCCTATGTAGATGCCTTTTATTTCATCCCTTGTCTGATTGAGGTGGCTGGGATTTCTAGTACTGTGTTGAAAAGGAGTGGACAAAGTGCACAGCCTTGTCTTGTTCTAATTTTAGGGGAAAGCTTTTATTGTTTTCCCATTCAGTACGATGTTAGCTATGATTTATCATGTATAAGACTTTCACTGTGTTATGAAATCTACCTTTGGTGCCAGTAGGTGGCATGGTGATTATGGCATTGGACTCCCACATTCTCCGTCTATATGGAGTTAGGCCCAAAGCTGGTCACCCAGGCCTCCCTGTGACACCCTTGGTGCCCCCTTTACCAAGTGCAAAGCCACCCATTGCCCAAGGGTGACCCTGTGGACCAGCTTTCCGCTTCCCCCTCTGCTGGATCCTCCCTCCTCTCCCTGGTCCTTGGAGGGTGCCAGCCATTGGTCTCAGCCTTGGTGCCTATGCCATGGTCACCTCCCCTTCCTGGAGCTGGCGCGCTCCTGCTCCAGTGACAGCTAGCCTGACCCTCACCGTGCCAGCAAGGCCTGTTCACCTTCTCTGTGAGGTGACCTTTCCACCCATCCCAGTATCTGGACCCTGTGCCCTGCCCCCACAGCCCTCACGGTCTATACACGGCACCCTCTTCGTTTATTGCCCTGGAGTCTGTGGTCCTCCAGGCAGGGAGAGGTCTGTCCATGAGTGCACTCCAAGTGTCTAGGCAGGACCTGGTTCATAATACAGACTTGATGCACTTGTGAGCACTTGATGACTGGATAAGTGAACCTGTGCTTGAAAACGAGTATTTTCTTCAATCGTTGGGTTAGGGTTCTTTGTAGGGCCACCATGTTGGCTGGTTCATTGTTGGTTGTTATGCTGTGTTCTCTGTGCTTGCATGAGTTTTGCCAGCATGATCCATGCACTAGCAAAGTGGTGTGTGACTGTGGGTTTGTACACTCAGGTAAATAGGTAGGTACACAGTTGATGATCAGAGGGCACGATTTGACGTCGTAAAACTGATATCGAATGTGTCTCACTGCTTACCGTGCTCTGAAGTTTATTATGATTTCTGCAGTTGAATTTATGTTCTCCAAGTGAGTACTCACCTGTGTCTCTGAGGTCAGTATTTGCTTAGGCACCATTTTGTAGTCTGTACTGCTTTGGTCTCTGTTTTTGCCTAGGAGGCTTGTTTGAATATGTAACCGCAGCCAACTACTTTGGAGAAATCGTGGAATGGTGTGGCTACGCACTCGCCAGCTGGTCTCTCCAGGGAGGAGCTTTTGCTCTGTTCACATTTCTGATTTTAGTCTCCCGAGCAAAACAGCATCATCGGTAAGTTTTAAAATGCTTTTAGCATTCTTAATTTGTTCTCTTACTTTACTGTGATGACTTTCAGGTTGTATTTTTGAAATGTTAATATCAATTTCTCTTGCTGAATTTTAGTAAAAACTAAGCTTTAGCTAAATATCTGCTGAACTGCAAGGAATCAGCAGCTTCACGTCAGCACAGGATTTTTCTCTACGAGTTCTTCTTAGCCTTTGTGAATACCTCTGACTCAGTAGTCAAGGTGAATACCAAGTCAGGGACTCGGGTCTAAACGACAGTGAGCAATACCTAGGTGGATTTCTTAGTCTCATCAGTATTCAAAGATGCAAAGGATTTGTATTAGAGATAATGAAGGGGAAAGGTCAGAACTGGAATGCTAATTGGCTAATAGTTAAAGAAATGGTAGCGTATGTCTGAGAGCCGACAAGATCCCCAGGGGAAACCCCTCCTTTTTTTTAAATTTCCCAGAAAGTACATGTGCTTTCCAGAAAGAGACAGAGACAGAAAATGGAAGACAGCACCCCCCATGGGGAGTGGTCATGCTGCAATCCCTGCTATACTAATCTCTTCTCTCTTTCTTTTTTCTTTTCTTTTTCTTTTTCCTTTTTTTTTTTTTTTTTTTTTTTTGCTATAGGGCGTGTGCGCTTGCCAGAAAGAGAGAGATAGAGAGATAGAAAGTGAGGAATCACTCCCTAGGAGGGATGGCCACACTGCAATCCCTTCTCCTCCATTCTCCTCTCAGGATCTTGGGCATGCACACACACACACCCAGCGTGAGTTTAAGCCACCAGGTCCGGGACTCAAACTGCGGTTGACTACATGGGAGTCCAGCGACATAATCTTTATGCCAACTGTTGGTCCCACTAATCTCTTCTTTCAAGATGTTGGTCACACAGGCACCCAGTGTATTTCTCAAGCCACTGCATGTTGTCAGCCTTGCGAGATCCAGCCATCTTAACCAGCATGCCACTGGGCTGGCCCTGACCCTCTTTTTTTGAGACATTTCATTATGCCAGTGACCTTGGTATTTTTATATGCCAGTGAGGACCTATCTAAATCTCAGAGCCACCAAAGAAGAGAGAAGGGCACTTCTGGGCAAGTTCAATGGCAAGGAGGGCTTCAGAAAAGGGTTGCGATGTCCAGAGTAGCAGAAACCCTGGGGATCAGGTGTGGCCTTGCTGTCACGGGTGGAATCACACTCACTAAAGGATTTGTTGAAGGCGAGGCTCTCGTACCTGTAGCTGTGACCTGACAGCAGTGAGAACACAGTGGATGAGGTTCGGCAGTACAGGAGTTAAGGGACCTGGATCCTACATAGCTGGCCACAGTTCAAGTCCTGGCTCCAGGGACTTAGAGAACATACCAGGCACCTGTGTGGGTGTCCCCAAAATCCTAATGGGAAGCAGAAGTGGAAGAGAAGGGATTGTGTGTGAGCACACCCCACTGGGATGTTTTCTCTGACGCTCTCTCTCTGGCACTAACACGTGCCCTCTGGCAGTAAAAAGAAGCAACCCGAGGCCCTGCTGGATAGAGTAGGCTAGTCAGTGTGGCTCATGTCCCTGTAGAAGGGAAATCTAGACACAGACTCAGAGAAGGCCGTGTGACATGCAAGCAGATAGGGTGATGAGGCCAGAAGCCAAGGATGCTTGGGGTAAGCCGGTGTGCGTGTCCCTCAGGCTCCCTGAACTCGAGGGCACCGCACCACATTCTGGGCACCGTCCCTGGAAACGTACCCCGTCACATGGAGCAGCCGGTGTGTGTGAGTCACGGTGCTACACATCCGAAACCGGAGGGTCTTACCGCCTCCTTGTCAGGGTTTGTCTTCATGTCCTGCCATGTTGACAGGGAGCCGACCGCTGTCCGGCGAGATCTCAGTGTGTAGCATTCCTTTGTGCTTCGTGTTCTCTCCATCCCCTCAGTCTCCCTGCTCACACCCGGCCTTTGTCCCCCAGTGAGTGAGCGTGCCTTTGCCGATAGGGCTTACACTGGAGTCGAAGACCCCGTCCCAGTGCAGGGCTGTGCTGTGGACTCACCTGGATTCTGCTGGTCCTCAGTAAGAGCAGTTCCAGAGCCCTCAGGCAGGTGGCGGTGCCCTCTACAGACCTGGATCAGCCAGGACTCTCTCCTTACCAGGAGACGGTCCGGAAACCCTCCTCAGCCTCCTGCGTTCTTCTGGGTCTGGAATGGCCAGTCCCAGCGTGTTGCTCATCAGCCCTCTTTCTTCCCAGTAGAAAGATGAACCATGGGGGTTCCTTCTGTATCGTCTTATACATGCAGTTCTTTCAGTGTGGATGGAATTCCAGGTCTCCCCTGGCGGCCGAAATGCCAAACACTTTATTACCACTTTTAAAAGGCTTAGTATTTATCGTGAAACATACTGTCGTTTTTATTAATGTCCGGTAAATGTTTAAGGGACAAAATTACTTCTATTTTTAATGGATTTTTTTCTTATTTTAGGTGGTATCTTGAGAAGTTTGAGGATTACCCGAAGTTTAGAATGACCGTCATTCCGTTTTTGTTTTAAGGGCACACTGAACTCATCTACAGCCGCAGCCTCTCGTGTGACTCCCCGGGGCCGTGGCGATGTGTCTGTCTGATTCTCCTGTCTCTGCACCTTTTACCACATAGGCCCTAGGAATTTCCCCTTGTGCATGCGTCAGCTACCTGGTAATAACTAATCAAACTGCAACGTAGGCCGGGCGTGGCGTGCCACATTCCAGGTCAGGAATGTCTAGGTAATTACTGCTGAAGACTTTCCTAATTTAAAATTTAGCTCCTAAAGCTATGTCGGCAAGCGTGCACAAGGCCAGAATCCGCAACTGTCCTTGATGGCCTCTTTGGAACAAACTCCCCATCCCTTTTATAGCCCCCAACAGTGATTCATTCAAGGTCAGCGGCAGAGTTCCCCCCACTGATGGGAGGTTGACTGTCTCCAAGCCAGAGAGACTGGGTGCCCAGGGCATAGCCAGGGTCTGGGGGACACATGGCGACCTCGCTGTCAGGTGCTATGTGCAGTGGAGGTGGAGGGCTTGGGATGAAGAAGGGCCTGTGAGGCCTGACCGAGACTGGGCTCCATCCCGGCTCACCAGGTGAGGCGGGGCGCGGGGTGCAGGGAGCCCATGGCCGCTGCCAGGGCCCGGCTGCTCTGTCCCCGTGCAGTGGCTGGGGGAATGAAGGTGCCGCTGGGCAGCCTTGAGGTCACAGTCTCTCCCCAGGAGCCATCCGTGTTCTCTGGGCCAATGTGGTTTTTTCAATTCCTTTAGAGAACCAGAATTTTCTAAGTACTCTAAAGTACTGTTAAGTATTACAAAGCAATACCTTGAAGCAGAATGTCTTACTTTAAAAGCACTTTAAGTGTTCATGGAGATGAACAGCATTCATAACGTTTATTTTTAAGTAAAGATTTTGAAAATATAGCTCTAAAACTCTGGCTGGACACTGGGTCTGGTTGTTGCTCTGTGAAAATCCGGTGACCACATCGCGAGGCCCCTTCCCGCCTGGACCGTGCTGCCTCCTCTGGGCAGCGTTCACTCCTTACCATTCTGCAATAGGGGCTGGAAATGGGGAGAAGTGGGAACCGGAGACTGTGCACCCTGTGAGCTGCCAGCGCCCCACGAGGGGCCTCAAGACCACACGCAACGCTGCCAGCAGCATCTCAGCCACTGCCACCCCTCCACAGGGGACTGTCACCCCCCCACCGCTGGGCACCCTCACCCCCCACACC